TTTGTAGTTTGATTGATACTAGTTGCTACAAGCCATACTAACAAAGAAGGTGATGAAGCAGTGACAACACATCTGCCTTTTAATGTGGATTTGAGAGTTTGTTTCTGCAGCCATATCTCAACACATTTTTAAATCTAAATATCTGTTGTCCAAAATGCAGTGGGTTTTGACCTTTGAAACTTAAAGTGATTTTAAATGCATGTCAATTTAGGGCACCCTATGGAGTTTTTGACCTCTTGCAGCAGTGTAATGCTTGTATGACTGGGTCCACAATTTGTTGTCATTGGTTTCAGGCTATTGTATTGATCAGCCCTTAGTGGCTTCTGACATGGCAAGAAATGCAAAGGCAGTGCAGAAGACTGCAAGCCAGCAAACATGGGGGTAAAAAATATATAGAAATTAGATTTGCAAAAGTTTGGGGAATAAGGAAAGAAAGGTTAGGCTAGATTTTGGTTTGCAACACCTGATGTAAACATAACCTCTATGTGTTTATATGAACTCATCACAGGAGAGCTTTAATTTGAAATGGGATTTTAACTGGTAGACTGTCGCACTTAGAAGTTGAGAGTCTGAACATTTACTGGAGTTCAACCAGTATCCATTAAACCTTCATAAAGACCCCATATAGTCACATAGGGAGCAAAAATATCTGGGTTGATGTATATTTTTGGGTTTCATCTGCCAAAAACAATGTCTTTTGCAGATTCGAGCATTACATTTGCATATTTTCATGCATAAGTGTTCAGTGTTCTGCAAAGGATTCTGTCATGGCTCACTGACCAGGTAAATCCAAATGAAAGCTGTGACATGTTATTGCTTTTATTAATTAAATCCACTACCAACATGACATGGGAAAAAAGAAATAGCTAACAAAATGGATGAGTTGTGTTAGACAGGATGCAAATGCATTTCTGTTGGCAAGGGTAGAAAGAAAAGAGTTTGTTTTGTGATGAAGTGGGAAGAACTGTTGTGGACATTTTCTTTGTCCTCTTATCTATCATGGTATAACATTGCTGCACTTTAACTTAAACTTCCTTGGAAGGTGGATCTCACGCTTTGCTCAGGTTTTGTATTTTAGTCCAGACAGATTTTTTTTTCTTCAGATTAGCATCTACTGTGAGTCACTTGTATAGCATGACGTGCAAGTTTGTATTTGCTTTTACAGGTTGGTTGAAATAGCCTGAGCCTATTAGATATTATCTACTGTACCCCTTTTACCTACTTATAAGCAGAGTTGTGAAAACAATTATTTGTGTGTGATCATTTCTGGTTTGTGGCACTGTCTCTCTTTAAAGTTGAGATGGACACAACACTCATAGGGTTGCAACTTTTCAAGTCATAATTTGCAAGAGTTTCATCAAGAGGGTCCAACAAATTGACCATATCACTCCCATCATCATCTCCTCTCAATGGCAGATCTGACTGTTTGGCTATAAAGTGTTAAATGGCTCTGGCTCCTTCTTATTTTGCAGAACTTGTCTCCATATCACAATATCAGAGACCTGAGACAACATTAAGCACATTTACTCATTAGCCTTTAACTGTTCCTAATTTAACCCCCTCAGGTATAGGCCTACTGCAGAAATGCTGGGAGGACTGTAAATCTAGAGCTTTATTCTTAGCTTTACTATTTTTTTCTTTTTAGTTTGCATCTGTGTACTGTAAAAAATTTTTATCAAAAGCCGTGTTGTGTGTGCGCTACAGCACATGAATAAAGGCAAAAAAACCAAAACAAAAAACACCCAAATCATGTTTGTGCTAAAATACATCTGAACAGCACAAACGATTCAACATGAATGAAAGATTATTTAATCCATCCACCTACACACACACACAATCTCAGGCTACAGGATAAGGGAGATGTTTGCACAGGCTGCAGCACAAACTGCCGGCCCTGTACTTCATACACTCACTCTTCAATAAAGGGCAAAAACACAATACACTTGTCTTTCTAAATGAACAAATGCACATAAGATGGAGAGCTCATCCTCAAAGGGAGCCAGCTGTCAGGACTGTCCTGTCCCGTATTGTATGATGGCTGGATTAGAGAAAATGGCGACAGTGCCGTCATACACTGTGTGGTCTAACACTAACAGAATAAAAGCAACTATTAGAGAATCAGTTCACCAAATTCACAAAATATGTATTTCCAAACTTGCCTCTGGTGGTATCCACTGAGTTCATGTTTCCATTTGGCTTTTAAACGTTTTCATTAGAGCTACACTTCACAATGAAGAAAGTCCCATGAGACCTGTTGACAGTTTGTTCTGTGGACTTTGTGAGGGACAATCAAGAATGAACATTTTTGTCATTCTCTAATTTAATTTGTCAACAATTGGAGCACCGTACAAGAAATTCCATTGGGATATCTGTAGAAGAGAATTAGTTTCTTGGTGTTTGGTTTAGGAAATTTGTGTAAACCAACTGAAAAATATATTCAATCAAGAACACGTAGGAAATACACACTCAATGTTGCCTTTTGCTTCCTCATCTTAGTTCCTTCTGTCCCATTACAGGACCTACAACCTTTTCCTCACCTGTTTCTACAAGGAACTTCTACTTTACACGGAGTCATCTGCAGCTTAGATAGCCTTTCATCCTGGAATCTTCGACCTCACTGATGTTCATTTCATTGATAGTGAAAGTTGGTTGCTCAAGTGGAATCAATCTAAACTCTACAAGTGACCACAATACTAAAATGTTCTCTCCTCTATATGTATGCTTTGGGATTTGGTGTATGTTTGCGTCAGTACCTCCAGGCTGGTTCAGTCAAACCTTGGACTGGAATTCAAGTGAACCACAAAGGGGGAATTTCCACGTGCCTTTCAGTCATCTTACTTGGAACATAAAATTGTGTGTCATCCCATGGCTGCATCCGCTACTGCTCCTCACTTCCTCATGGCTGTGGGGCAAAAACTGTTCAGCTGACAGCGAAGCAATGCCTGACTCACACACAGGTAAAGGCTTAATCAGTTTTTATCATTATGGAGTCTGACTTTGAAGTTAACACCTGGACTTCACTGCCACCCAGTGGTGACGACAAAGATGGATGATAATTACAATTAAATAGGAAAAAGGATATTGTACTGTAGGATTATGATTGGGGGTGGGACTAAATTCTGCTCCTGTATAAGATCTTCAATAACCCCATTTCAGCTGATAATACTGTGAACATCACCAGTTCACATCTCATTGGGTGGCCAGAATTTTGGTTTGCAGTGAACTTTTTACAGTTCTGATTCATAACATTAAAAATGATCAATGATCACCTGAATGCAACCCCGGATAAAGAGAATGCAGCATATTTCACACTGACAGACACACTGCCAAAGAAAATACTCTCAGTAAACCCAGGGGACAAACATAGTATATAATGAGATTCACAGATTTGCACTTAAAACTACTCTCTCCTATTTAAAATATAAATCCAACAACAATGCTGGTTGGACCTTAAAAGCACAGAAACCAGGCAGCAAAAGGTCCTTGTCAACTCATATTGGTAATGTTTGTCTTTCATAACTATACTTCTAGTCCATTCTTCTTAGACTGGACATCATTTCATTATATCTGTTAATGCTGAAATAGCAAGAGAGAGGACAAATAGATTCTGATAAACTAATATTTTATACTGGTCTACAGGTAAAGAACTTCCAAAGATGTGATCCAAATCCAACCTGGATTCACTTTATTGCAGGTATGTAAAAAAAACAAAATAAAAAACAAAAGACGGTTATGCCCATCTCAACAAAACGTGAACGAAGGAATATTCGCCATCCGTGCATGAGCTAATCAATAAAGTTTGACTATATGGACAAACATTTTCTTTCAATACATGTTGAGCCTATTGTATCATCTACTCGTTCAAACTGAAGAGGCTTCTCACGAAATACTGATTTTAGGTACACAAATACAAGGCAATATGATAAGGAAAACACAGAGCTGTCATTGGATTAATGACGTATAACTCTCCAAACTTCTTTATCCTGATAAAATACTACTGGGGAAAAAATTTTTACCAAACTCTGGCTGCACTGAAACTGGTTTAAAACAAAGCTTGATCAAGAAAAAACAAAAAGGAATGACTGGTTATGTGCCAGAGTTTATCAGTTTAATTACACAAGGGAAGGACTACTGCAAGGCCAAGGTTCAACTTGATTTTTGTTATAAGTGAAATGATTAAAAAGTCCCAAGCATGCTGTACACACAGTTATCAACAAAAGTAAACAGCCGAGTTAAAATGAAACACTTAGAAAAAATGTAAAAAGGGGTTTAAACTCAACATAAAACATTTCAGTACCAATCTAGAACACATTTCAAATAAAGATCATGACAACAAATTCAAATCGTAAAACCAGCTATTAGCAAGGGTGAATTAAGCATACACGAAATAACTGCTCAGCTGCCATACATGAAAATAAAAGCAAGAAATGCATTTACATAACATTTCATTACGCATGATAAAAGCAAAGTATTAAAATCATTACTCTGTTATGAACTTGAGTAAAGCAAAATCTTAGGTCTGGCAGCCTGCTCCTACTAGGACCTTGCTATATTTAGATTCAGGTAAATTATTAGGGTAATTTCTATTACCTAAATTAGTTGAAGATGTAAGGTTTACAGCTGAGGAATTTCAAATACCCTTTACACATATCAGAAAAGGCTGAACCAAGCAATTTGAATGGTTAAGGACAGCATTCATAAAAGACATTATCCAGAATCATAAACACATTACAAGCACATGAGAAAGTATGTGTATGCTTAATGTGATCAGAGTGCCAATATACAAGTGCATAAATAATTAATGGGGTTTTGTTGATCAAGTTGATGCTCTGTTACTCTGAACCATTTTCTGACATAATTATGTTGTAATAAATGACTCGTGTTAATTATTGTTATTGTGTCAATCTGTTTTTCGTGCATTAGAGTTTGTTGAAATTAAAAGTTAAAATGGTCAGTCTTTCTCAGTTGTCTTTATAAGTTGATGTTTACATTTTCAGTGGTACAGTAGTGAAAGGCGCGTAGATACTGGCACACAAGCCGAGAGTGCCCTCTCGCGGCTCTCAGTGTGAAAATAACGAACATGTGAAATTTCAATCTACGGTAATATTTAAAAAAAAACATACATAAGTCGCTCCGGAGTATACGTCGCAGGACCAGCCAAACCATGAAAAAAAGTGCGACTTATAGTCCGGAAAATACGGTACTTCTAGGTCTAGTTACTAATCTGTTCACTCTGTTTTTACCTTTTGCACATTCCATGTAAAACACATTTTAGTCAGATCATCTGTGTTGGTTTTATAGAGCTCATAATCTCCTTAAGAGTGTCTTGTGCACTACACTCACAGCTTATGGCAGGTGTTAATGAGCTTGATATGAATTCACACTCCTATAAAATGTTAAAACAGCCCCAAGTAGAAGGTTTGTAATACTGGCAGGTTCTGACAGTATAGGTGGTCAACGGATCCCTGATCTCATTCTGAAAAGCCAGGTATTTCTAGTAAATCACAAGATGAAACATTTCTTGTTTTCTCAACAGATTAACCAGTAAATATGTAACCATAGCAAGGTTATAACTGCACACGCCAGACAAAATCATAGTATAATCTGTAAGCAAGTTAAAAGTACTTTGTGAAGCCAGAGAGAACCTAAAATAACAAAACACTTGTCACTGGTTGATGACAGAAGATTGTCAGAAGAACTGTCACTCTATCTGCCATCTAAACCATTCTTGACCATACTGTTCAAATTCACACAAAATGGGACTCTGATTTATCTCAGTTTACAGTAAAGACATTTAAAGGCACATTCTGCAATATCCCCTACAGCAACATTGATGTAAACAAGGACACACACTGTCACAGATGCTAAGCACCTGAAACCAGGCTCAGCCAGTAACAGAGCAGCAGAACCAGCAGTTTCAAACCAGTAAGATGCCAATGTCGCCATCTATGGGCAAGGAAAGAAATAGCTTCTGTAATCTGACAGTTAATCCACCAATATAATTGCTTTTAACATCCTTAGGAGTGTTCATTGTTAAGGGCAGAGGGATTAAGTAAGGCTAGAGATGAGAAACTCATAGGGTTTGTCAGGATGACACCCCATCTATGTTGCTACTGCTGCCATCTTTTTCTGCCAAGATCTCAGTATTAACAATTGCGTAACCTCCTTGATTGTTACCAGTTTGTCATGCAAAAGCAGAAGTCACAAAGAAGATACTCTATTTTTGCTCAATGAAAGGTCCTGAGGTCCTAATCTTCCACCTAGTAGATATACTTCTAAATCCTACAGATAAACACAAAGCGTGCAAGTCTGTGAGCAATGATGTTGTTTACATGTAAATAATGGAAAAAGTAAATATGTCAGCAGCTTTACACCACCTGCAGGTACTGAATGTTACAGCTGCAGTTTTCATTTTTATAGCCAGTGTTTGATTTATAAACTGCTCATAAAGATTAAGGGAACACTTAATCATCACAGGATAACACTAAGTCAGTTCAACTTCAGGGATATTAATTTGTCCATTTAGGAAGCACAAGTGTTTACAAATCACTTTCACCTGCATTGGTGCAAATGAAAGTGACAACAGGTGCAATGGAGAGGCAAAAGCAAGACAACCAAATGGTTTTGCATGTGGTGGCCACAGACAAATGCTCCTTCCTTTCCTTCCTGAGTGATTCTTCTCAGATTTTGAGTTTTGCCAGTGTCCTTGTCACTACTGGTAGCATGAGGCAGTACCTGCAGCCCATCAGCCTTGTAGAGTTCTAAAAATGCAGGTGACAACATTTGTTTTGAGCAGGCGTTAAAACATTTTCAAATTTCATCAGCTATTTTATTCTGTAGAGAAGCAAAACAGACATCTGCAGGTCCTAGTTGGTGGTGCTATTACATTACTTATAGGTGGCGCAAAGTGTTTTACATCTTAAAAAAAAAAAAAAACCCAATGACACCTGAATCAATAACAGCTTTACCCATTTTTCATCGCTGATTTCTTCTGTTCAGTCCAAGTCATAGTCATGTTGACATGATAAGGCTGAGTAGAAAATCTTGCTGACTGTGCCTTTAAATGTCTTGCAGGATGCAAAAGTTAGAAATGCATCAAAGTACAAGGTTTGTTACTTCTTCTCAATCTTCAGTGTTTGTACAAAACTCCAGAGGTCCTTAACTACCTAAGGAAAGCGTGGAGAGGAGAGAGAGAGGGAAAAACAGACATTATAAATGATACAAATGAAGTGCTATACAGTACGAGACATGACACTTTTACTACAACATGCTTTTGTGTGTCTTGCCTATGGGAACAGTGAGTTTAGATGGGGCTGTCAGGGAACGACGAGAGGCTGGGTGGGGGCAGCAGTACATACCAGAGTATATGACTAGGTGCTCCAGGTCTGACAGATCTCAGCCTTGGCTGATGAAACCAAAGCACTTCCACAGATGTTTTTACACACTGAGATCAACAAGCTCTCCTCAACCCAACACCACCCCCACTCTTTTCCTTGTCCGCCCAGCCCTCTCTCCACTCTAAAGAGCTTTCACCTGCTCTCATAACTGTACAGCCAACATTTTAATCACAAATGAATACTTGAATAGCCCCTTCTAGCAAATGCTTTGATACCAAAAACACAGCATTACTATGAGACACACTGCCTAGAATCATTTAGTCTGTGGTGATAATCTCAAGGTTTTGGGGTGATTCATTCACTGAATTCAAAACACAGTGCAGGAACTGTTGTTCATCTTCTGAAATGACAAGGTGCATTAAAAAGATTTAAGTCCTGCATTTAGAAAAACCTTCTCTTGGGGCTGGTCAAAGGCCTTGACTGTGAAAGAGACTGGTACCATCCACATACCACCAGTCCCTTCATTAAGGCTACAAAAGACACACACGTCAGTAAATCACAGAGAAAGAGTTTGCTTTGGCAGGTGTACTCCCATTCTCAGGAGAGCCCGCTCACACAAAATGATTATAATTCAAAGAAAACACTGTGCTGAAGAGACACTGAGCCATAGTGGACAGTGTAAGGTATGAGGACAGTGTGAAGAACAATAATGCATTCTGGAGTATCTCTCATGGAGAAGAACTCTTCAAGCTAAAATAAAAGGTTAGTGTAGATTGTAGATGTGCCTGTGGAACAGATATTTCGAGAAACCTGTCCGTAAACATCTCCCCCTGAGCCGAATGTCTCAGACTAAATGCACAACAGACCACTCTCAGACTCCTAGTTATCAGGGGTCTCAGTCAATATGCACAGACTATATCAAAGAACTTGTGACTACTTACTTTTTTGTCTGAGATTTTAAAAGAGCTCTTCACGAAATTCTCAAACTTCTGTTCCGTCTTAGGTAGTGGTTTTCCCTGATGAAAAAGATCATTAAATTGTCAGCTTAACCAAGTGTCAGACATTCAGTTAAGTGGTCGTTTGCAAAAAGAGGATGACAGTCTTACCTCCTTGGCTGCTGTAGACAACTTGCTCTTAATCTCAGTCAGAGAGGGAGATTTAGATGGGCCAGCCTGGGGTTTGTCTTTTCCTGGGGCAGGTGTCTTGAAAAATATATCAACTAGATAAGAAACACTAATTGATGTGTCAAATAGAGAGAGAATTATAGGGTTGTAAATAAAAAGATAGCTTCATATTATGCCACAATACTTCTTCTTTTACTCAGGTTAAGCTCTTGCTATTGCCTTTTATTTGCCTGTGTTCTCAATTGAACATAACACAAAACAGCTAAGTCTAACATTTTGGTGATGAACTCATTAGATGACCAACGGGCCAGTCGGGGCTGCAGCGCTGCTGTGGCCTATTTAGTCTAGATCTGTGTTTACAAGCTTGGTGTGGGCAGCCGGCTGGAAGAAGATAAGAGCATTAAAAAGGACAACAAATTATAGGCTAACTGCACAATCTTTTTCATAAATATGTCATTTACAAATTGTGTTTTTATGGCTTACAAGCAGAAGAGGGCAAGCCCCAACTTTGCAATAAGCAATGGAGACTGTTTCACGTACACGTTTCAATCTGAACAACCACCTTCCAAAACAATAAATGATTATTTTTTTTGTTCAGCATTTATTTAAAACAACACTGTCGCAAGGGACACTAAGGTGACATCACGGAAGGTATTTTGCCCACCGTCTGTTTTTGAAGAGGAGAGCAGCGTGAGCACTAAACCAGCAGGCCCACAGGGGTGTCTAGACGGGGGCAGCCTGGACGACCTCAGTTAGGTGCCTAAATGTTACACAACAACGCGCACACACACACACCATACTCCGTGATTACATGCTACCCAAGCCACAGAGCCTGTCCCTACATGCAAAGCCAGCGTGGAATCCAGTGAAAATGCAGGGTCTCATTGACAGCAACTCTTTTTACCAAGCAAGTCAAAAAACAGGAAAACCCCAGGAGGGGGTGGGGGGTGTCTGTTTGTTTGGTGTTTAAAATGAACGCTACACCATTCTGCACTGTGGTTTCATGGGCAGAGAACGGCATTGATCCTTTTAGGCTCTGGGTCTCTACTGGAAATGGCAGGTCTGGTATCACTGATTTCAGCTAATCCATACTGGTTTTTATTGACATCGCTCCAATCTCTATCTTATCATTTAAGAAAAAATATTTTGAAAGCAAAAACTACCCACATTTTAATTTAGTGTCACAACCATTGATTTATCATAAATGACCTGCAATTGTGCCATTTGTTTTAATTAGAAAAAAAAAAAACAAGAATGAAAACAGATATCATACCGTGCCATTCATAAATTGAAAGCTTATGTTGAATGTGCAGTTTAACCACAGTTGTTAACAGCAGCTCCAGCCTGCTGCATTGTACAGATGTATAGTTTGCCTCAGACCACTGTGCACGGTCTTGAGCCTGAGAAGCTGAGAGGGTAGGCAGAAGCGCAGTAGGCCAAGACTGCACATTCAGGAATAAGTAAGTGGAATCAAACAGCAGGTTTCTTAACACCTTCTACTTCTCATACATTTATAACTGGTTCAAATTCAGAGCCATATCTAATGGTAAGGGTCTTTGAATAAAAGCAATAAACACACTTTGCGGGTTACTACTTGGTACTTCAAACACCTTTGGCGCAATTTTGGGCTTTGAAAACCAAAACCTTGAAAACCACCACTTGAAATTAAAAACAGGTGGAATTCTTTCCTCACTTAAGAGGGCTGCATTTTATAGCACAAAAAAAAAAAACTTTGATGCATGCATACCACAATACCAAAAAAAACAAAAAACAAAACACTGCTGGATCCCAGCCAGACAATTGCATTTATTATTTACGGGCAGCTCTCTACCTCCCAAGTCCAGCTGTGCATCTGATAAACACACGAAGCCAAAAAGCTTTTTCATGTTGGCCAGACACTGATTACAGATGCCACGAGACATGGAACTTAATAACAAGCACGGTATAATTTGATGCAATCTGTCTTCAATCCAGAGCAAACACATGGTTGTGACACCTTTGCACATTAGGTCTATTCAACAATGGCAATTGTCATTTTGTTAGAATGAGAGCATTGGAGGCCCATGTCTGGGGGAAACATCAGGTCACTGGGAACTATAACTTGTATATGCAAGCACATGGGTTGGTTTTTCAGACATTTCTTCATGCACAACAGGTCCAGTTGGTTAAGTCATGGGAGTGAACATCCTTAAACTCACAGGAACAATAAACAAGCAACAACAAGACAGGCATATGGTGTAACATGTCCATCGCTCACTGTAACTGTCCAAAAACTGGTTTCATTTAGTATGTGAGTTTATGTCTGTTACTAATATGAGTTGGTGCTGCCACTGAGATGTGAATGAGATGTTGAATTAACAGAGGTGAAAGCATCTAAGAAATGTATTGCTTTAAAACTGTGTTTAGTTGAAAGAGCGCTGTTCTAGGTGAACTTTATTTTGAAGGGCAGTATATGTCAACCATGTGACTAGAGCTGAGTAAGGGGGCGCCACTATGGCATTATGGGACAGAGACAACATGGACAAAGAGGAGGGACATACAGCCCCAAAGTTATTATTCTACACATGGTTCTAGAGGCACAAACTGTAAAATTTACTTTATATGTTGGATTTGTGCTTAATGTTGTTTGTGCCTCTGCTTGGACAGTGTTATGCAGGAGTGCATTTATCCAAGTTCAGCACAGCTCACTTTGCTAACTAGATACAAGTTCGTTAGTGAACACTAGTTTAAAACT